CCAGACTCGAACAAATAAATGAGTGTGTGAGTATGATTTTACGCCGTTTTTAGCAATATTCCAACAATATCACGGCGGGGGACACCAGAAATGGGCTTCATACATTGCATTATGCCTATATGGGGAATCGAACCCGGTCCTTCAGCGTGACGAGCGGTCGCTTTAACCATCTGGCTACCCCACCGCCCCCGATCATTTAAAGCTCACTGTAATGTAGTAACATACCTGGACTACTGCTGACGTCAGCGTTATACAAGAATAATAAAGCCACTCTACTGAATACAGTAGCACAGTGGGTTCTTCTCCATATGACCATTACATGTTAGGATCGTATTAAAGGGTATGTCACTAGTTCTCACTCTCGGGAGGTTCTTCTCCAAATGATCATTACTTGTTTGGATCGTATTAAAGGAAATGTCACTAGTTCTCACTGGCCTTCGAAGCCTATTCCTGTTTCCACCGCTGTCACATTGATTGAATATTGGTAGAGCGGCGTAAAACAATACCCCTTCTCATACAGTCTTATCTGGAACACGTTTTAAAGACATAAGACTCTATTTCAGGAAATTATGTTTACCAGTTTGGGTCTCGCGGGATCGTCGATGGTTACCCACGTGTCATCAGCTCCGTGTTTCCTGACGCCCCCTCATCAGTGGATACTACAATAACCCTCACCCTGGCTATAGGAGGGCGTGGCCCCAAGACAACCTTCACCTATCTCTTTACGGTAACATTTCTAACTGTAGGGTAACATAATATACACTCATTTCCTAACTCTAGGAGTGGTGGGGTAGCCTAGTGGTTAAAGCATTCGCTCGTCACGCCGAAGACCAGGGTTCGATTCCCACATGGGTACAATGTGTGAAGCCCATTTCTGGTGTTCCCCGCTATGTGTTGCTATGATGTTTTCTACAAAGTAATCATGCGTGCTGTCCCCAGGGTAACGTGACCTACATCTACACCTACGACGTGGCCTTGACAAGGTTCAGATTCTACAGGGGGCCTGTGTTATTCTCAGAGGTATTGCACCTACCCACCACTCGGCTGGACGCTGCCTTCTACCTCAACAACAACAACACCTGCTACTTCACACGAGGTAAATTCATTCTCGCGTAAGATGTTGGCTAGTAATGAAACATGGCGGTGGGGTATCATAATGGTTAAAGCGTCCGCTCGCCACGCCGAAGATCCGAGTTCGATTCCCCACGTGGGTACAATGTGTGAAGCCCATTTCTGGTGCCCCCGCCGTGATATTGCTGGGACATTGCTGAAAGCGGCGTAAAACTAAACTAACTCACTCACTAATTATGAAACAAACCAGAAAGAAGTTTGCAAGACTGAATTTGGCCTTGGAACGTTCTGATAACGTTGTAATTTTGGAATCAAATCCGTTTCTCCACTACATACTTTCCTTTGGCCGGAAAGTTAGTTTCCCTATTGGTTGTGTTTGGTGCACAGGTATCTCAAAACCAGTTGGTATCGCGGCTACAAGATTTGTTTGGCCTATAGGCTTATGTTTCAACTTTAGCATTTTTATGTTGGATCACTTGGTTCGCGGGGCTGCTAATCCCCCACGTCAGGAATGTGATAAATGATATTCGAGATTAAATCTGTTTGCCGAACCTGAAGACGTTCAGGCACAAACTGCTTCCCTACTTCATCCGGACAATAACTGAGACAAAATCGGAAAAGCCCTGGGAAAATCAAAGTCCTTTGAATGATTCCGATTGTCAGAGATGAATGCCCAGGGAGGCTCGGGTGTTCGCTCAAACCGTGGAACTAGTTGTGACGAGTAGCATCTGTAATGTCACTGGTACTGCAAGCAAAGAGTCGCTTTGTAAATACTGTAGTTTTCTGTTTCACTTAGCAATATTCGATTGTATGCAAATTAGAACACTCTGCACAACACAGATGCGATTTCGGTGAGATTTCTGAGCAGATATCTGACTAAAATATCCATGTAACACTGTAAATACCTCGCCTTCACAGGGAAAGTATATTGGAAGATGACTATAGACAAGAGAGGCGGAACAAGAGTCAGCTCACCCAGACAACTCTCCAGCCTCGCTCTACTCAACGGAATACCAGCTTTCCGCACTGCCGTGCGCATGCGTAGTAATTTGATGTATTTCTTCTACAACTCCACCTACTTCCGCCTTGAAGGTGCAGGTCGGAAGCGCCGCCTGGTGGGGCCCCTAGACACAGCATACCGATGGTTTCGCTGCAGACGACCCAGCCTGTATCAAATTGGTCTATTTCCTTAACAGGATCCAACTCTTGGCCCTAATGGCTTGTGGTGGGACTAAATAATGTGAGTTATTAGTAATGGGGTTTAAAACTGCGGGTTATTAGCGAGGGGTTTTGATAACGCGGGACATCAGTAGCGGGTTATAATAATGAGATCAATTAGTTGTGGGATATGATAATGCAGGGTATTTGTAGTGGGTTTTAATAATGCGGGGTGTTAGTGATGGGTTTTAATAATGCGGGGTATTAATAATGGGATATGATAATGCAGGGTATTTGTAGTGGGTTTTAATAATGCGGGGTATTAGTACTGGGATAAAGTGGGATATTAGTGAGTGAGTGAGTACCTTAATCTGTATAAGGGTTCACTGGAAGAGCGGTGTTTCACTGAACTTATATCATGTTTGAACATACAATGTCATTTAGAAAATCGTCAACTGTAATATATATAAACTCTGTCAAAAAAGAAACGCAACCCCTGTCCTCAGATATTAAAAATTCGTTTGAATAAAGTGGTTGTTTCCAAACTAAATTTTATTCAAATGTATTGAAATGATACACGTATTTAATGAAGATTACCATCCAAACAACTGCATTTTCACGCATAAGTGTATTTTATTGCTTATTCCGTCACAACGCATGAAATGACCCTGGTGACTTCGCACAAAAAAACAAATGCACGTGCAAATCATGAAAATGGCAGTTAATGTATGGGTGTATAAAGCTAATGTGCTTTCGTATTTTATTCATTCATTTGTCGCCGAAAAGCAGTGTTAAAAATGCCACGATTGAGTGCTGCCGACCGAAATATCACCATTGGTCGTGTTCAAGCCGAAGAAAGTTTTGGAACTGTTGCACGGCACCTAAATGTTCACAAAACAACGATATCCCGACTTTGGAGCCGCTACAACAACTTCAATTCGACCAACGATCGCCCGAGAAGTGGAAGGCCAAGAATCACGACCCCCCTTCAAGATCGGTACCTCCGGGTCCATCACCTGCGTAATCGGCATGCCCTACCAACCGTGACTGCCACACAAATACCAGGTTTGAGGAGAGTGTCAGCTCAAACGATTAAGAACCGTCTGAAAGAAGCGGGTTTACGTGCCTGTAGACCAGTTGTTGGACCTGTACTACGCCCCCTACATCGACGCCGACAACTCAGGTGGTGCAACAACGTAAGGATATGGACATTACAAAACTGGAGACGCATCTGTTTTGCAACGTCACGACGGAAGACAGCGTGTGTATAGGAGACGTCATGATCGTTTTGCGCCCATCTGCGTCCGACAGGTGGACAGATTTGGCGGAGACAGCGTTATGGTTTGGGTAGCCATCTCATACAACCAGAAATCAGACTTGGTGATCGTTCCAGGGGACATGACAGCCCAACGTTACATCAACCACGTGTTGCAGCCTCGCCTTCTCCCGATTATTGACCAACAGACACAGATTTTTCAACAGGACAACGCCCGGCCTCATACTGCACGTGCAACAATGAACTGTCTGCAGAATTCCAACGTCATTGTTTTGCCATGGCCCTCTAAATCACCAGACCTCAACCCTATTGAACACCTGTGGGATACTCTGGATCGACGCGTACGTCAACGTCAGCCGCCGCCACAGACGCTGCAACAGCTCGCCGTTGCACTGCAGTAGGAGTGGAGAGCCATTCCCCAGGAGAGAATCCGGCGTCTTATCCGTTCTTGTCCAAGGAGATGCCGTGCAGTGATTGCAGCTCGTGGTGCTCATACGAGATACTGAGAAAGACGCCCCCTGGTGACAAACTGGTGTCTGTGAGATGACTTTTGCAATGACAATTTTCAACATGACCATCTTGGTTATTATTCTGCCAAATTTCAGACTTCTGTCTTAAATAATAAAAATGCTGTATCGTCCTACAACTTAAGATTCAAATCTCTAAAATACAGGGGTTGCGTTTCTTTTTTGACAGAGTTATATGTTATAGTTTGGATTACACTTCCGGGATTTGGTTTCAACTGATGTACACAGTTAGTTCTTTAAGTACAGGAGGTGTCTGTTCATAAAGACTTCCATGTTAGAGTTATACGTGTACATAACAATGGTTGCACAATATGGATGAATATTTTACACTATGGGCACTTCAAACATCATATTTACTCTTTGCAGGTTGTACGTTTACTTGGGTATGGATCAAAATGAATAAAGGGCATAAATCTTGACTAACACTTTCTTATTTTATTAGAATACAAGACAGCCATCTTGAGTGAGTGAGTGAGTGAGTGAGTGTACGAGTTTCAAAATCGGGTAAAACTTGGAAAAACAAAACCTGTGTTTAATAATGTGAGAACAGAAGTCATGTCCTGGAACTTAAGATGATGACACGGTACCTTGACACCAGAGGTCATAGCTAGCCCGTTACATAACTGGAGGGCGGTATATTTCCCCAGAATGGTATTTTAACTTTTGCCACACACCAGATCGAGACAGGTGGTGTCGACTACTGGTTCTAGATCGAAAAGACAAATGATCAAACACGTCCGATAAAATACCTTAGTTGCACTTGTACCAAATGTCCGGTGCCTTTCTCGGTGAACAGGTGCCTTGCCTTTGCATGTGTTTATGACGGATGTCACCAGCTGGACAAACACCTGGTGTTATCACCACTTGAAAGTGATTCATAAACAGATGATTATCATATGTGGTGATATATCTTTATTGAAAGGATTTTGTGCTATCTAATTTTTAACAAATCGTGTTGACAAAACGAAGCTTCTCAAGAAGTCCTTTATTGTTACATATAGAGGTTACACTGATTTGGTTGTTTTGTTGTTTTACGCCGCAAACAGCAATATTCCAGCCATATGGCGGCGGTCTGTAAATAATCGAGTCTGGACTAGAAATATCTAGTGATCAACATCATAAACATCGATCTACGCAATTTGGGATAAGATGACATGTGTCAACCATTTGCAAGTCAGCGAGCCTGACCACTCGATCCCGGGTTAAACTGACACTGCGTGTGTCCACGATAAGTAATACCCATGACTTGCCACAACTGGTTTGTTCAGTATATGCAAGAGATTTGCCTATGACACATAGTTTGTACCAGTACAGTACCAGTGGGGTAGCCTAGTGGTTAAAGTGTTCGCTCGTCACGACGATGACCTGGGTTCGATTCCCCACATGGGTACAATGTGTGAATCCCATTTCTGGTGTCCCCCGCCTTGATATTGCGGAATATTGGTAAAACTGGTGTAAAACTACACTCACTCACTCACGCAATTTACCATAACAAGTGGGAAGGGGATTACACGTTGAATGCAAGTTGAATGCGCGCCATCATCGCTGGAAACTAAGTTTGTAAGTTGTTTCTCAATCTAAGACTTTATGGTTACACATTATAGTACCCATATTACAGTTACCAGACACACATAATATGCCCCTTTAAATAGCGGGTGGCCTTTTGTCGGAGGTTAAAAGAAACTTGTGGTGTCCATAAGCCACATAGCTGAAATCCATTTGACGTGAATCTATTTATGAGCTTGGAATTCTAACACAGCGTCGATATAGTCAAGTGCTAGTCTATCAGACCAAGATTTCAGTGTCGATTCTTCAATGAAACCACAGTGACCTCCCTTGTTTGTAGTCACTAGCAACCAATTCGAATTCTCTCGAAAAATGTTGAATGGTACATATCTGGCCATGAATATGGGATCATCCAAGCTGGTAACACACATGATGGGAGGCGATACATTATCGATATTTCTCATCGGGTTCTGACGCTGCCAATACTCAAGACTGTCTTTGTAACCGTAGAATTTACAGTAGACCTGTTTGTCAAATTCCTTAAAATTTGTCGCTCTGAACGCCGCTCTCAAGTCAATTAACTGACACAGCATCTTGGTATGTTTCTTCAGAATTTTCTTCAAGGACGAAAGTAGAATATATTCATAGACATTATTCATAGGCTTAGTAAACACGTCTAATGAGTCATACCCTGGGCATAGACATACCGCTGTTGCTAGGATACAGTCAGCTCCGTATTCACTGAGATAAGACATCAAAAGTCCCGACCCTGCACTGGAGCCAACAGCGACAATTTTTGCTGCGGGGTGTTCGTCGTGCAAATACTCCACACAGCGTCTCATATCCTTCGCATCACCAAACCCTTGCAGTTTTGGCGTCGCCAATACGGAATCCCCGTGTCCACGTTTGTTAAACACTACAACTCGGTAACCTCGCTTCGACGCAGTGTCGCAGAGTTCGGCCATATCATCCGCGGACGCCGATAGACTCGGCAACACTAAGAAAATCGGACTTGTATCGGTAAGAGAGTCAAGTTTGTCTTGTACCCAGTCCAAGGCAACAGCGCCGCCATCGTCCAGATTGATGTACTCCCGCTTGAAACAAAGTTTTACTTTTGGAATCAAGGCTGCAACGAAAGTATGTAGATGGTTGTTCTGCAGCCAAAATGGCGGCCTGTAAGGGGAGGTAAAACCAGGCTTGGTTCCGATGATGTGTCGATGGAGGTCCGAGTCAAGATAATACAGGTCTGGAAGTGTGTGCTTGTTGCGGCGGTAGTACCATACCACGAAGACGAAAAGGGCGATCACGCCGACGGTAGCGACATACATTGTCTCCAGCATGAACTGCATTGTTGGGAATCCAATCGTCAAGGGTTTTACAGATGCCAACCTAACTAAAAACCACAATAAAGAATCGTAAGTGTTTGGGACTCTGTAAAATATAATTGGTTTATAATCTACTATTTTCAATATTGGGTCATCACATTAAAGCATCTGTATCAACTAGTTTCGAAGCTATATGACCTGTCGCTGCGAACCGCAAAATGTGAATGAGTACTAGTGAGTTTAGTTTTACGCCACTTTTGCATTATTCCAGCAATATCACGGCAGGGAACACCAGAAAAGGGCTTCATACATTTAACCCATGTGGGGAGTCGAACCCGGGTCTTCAGCGTGACGAGCGAACGCTTTAACCACTAGGCCGCCGCGCAGCAATATGTTACAGAGAAACATACTGACATGACAGTATCACCACTACTGAGAACGAGATCGCAGCCATAATCAGGTCATCAGGTGTTGATACCCCTTGTACTTTGTACTCGTGTACAAATGTCAAGCACTTATGATATTTTTACAGGTTGTAACGCCAAGGACTCCATTTAATTTGCCTCAGTCTATAATTGGCAAAGAGCGTCGTCGTATTCCTATTGTAGCTGCCTTTCATGTCAAGCTTGTATATGCAATATCAGATCAACAATTACAACCCAAGTCAGAAGACCAAGCACTGATCACAATTCCAAGGATATCTCCAGAACACTGGAAATGTTCCGTTGCATTACCGTCCATTTGTCATCAGACACTGTGACAATCCGAACCCATTCAAGTGAGTGTTAGAGAGTTTAGTTTTACGCCGCACTCAGCAATATTACAGCTATATGGCGGCGGTCGTTCAATAATCGAGTCTGGACAAGACAATCCAGTGATCAACAACATGAGCATCGATCTACGCAATTGGGAACCGATGACATGTGTCAACCAAGTCAGCGAGCCTGACCACCCGATCCCGTTAGTCGCCTTTTACGAGAAGCATGGGTTACTGAAGATCAATTCTCACCAGGATCTTCCCGGGCTGGACTTATTTGAATTAATAGGGTGTACGGGAATACAAACGTGTATACATCCTATGTTTCACACAGTTTCGAACCCAAAGATATTCATAAAATTCTTTCATAAAATTTATCAGTTAACGACATGCAGCAATGTTCCATCTATATCAAGATGATTTAGTATCAACCATGCCGGGCACATGAAAGTAGATGTGTTAATATCAGGTCCGAACCCCAAATTATGAACGTGAATTTGTTTGACAATGACAATGACAGTACTTTATTACCCTAGGGGAATTCTTTTTACATTTGAAAGTTATCACATAGTTAAACATTAAAATATCAAACATTTTGTAGTTAAGAAAACACAAAACAATACAACAGAGAAACAAAGTTAACAGTCATTTAAAAGGCGAATACTTGCTGGAATAGAAGAATTTTGAACATTTTTTGCTTTAAAACGGGGCATTTGGTATCGGCTGCCTGAAGGTGAAAGATTATATTCAGAAAATAAAACGTGTCTGGAATCAGATAAACTTCATTCAGCGATATTAAGAACACTGGAATTATAAAGAGAAAGAAATCCGAAACACACCAGATATTTTACTTGCAATTAAAATGATTTTGTTGATATTTGCTTTTACGAGGGCCATCAGCATCACCTTTTTGCTTACGATGAAAGATCTCAGTTTGCGCATAAAATACAATCATTGCCGGCATTTCTTAAAAATAAAATCAGTGTTTGGAGCTGACTGTAGTTTATTTCCGATAATAGTGCCACTATATTTGTACTGTGATACAATTTCGACAGTTTTACCCTTGATTTCAACAGGCATAGAATATTCACCGATACACTGCTAGGTCCAAATATTTATTTCACTTATATCACCATCGAATAACCATTTTTTGTTAGTTTTAATTTCAGTCACAATCGAACATAGGGGCATACTTTCTTTCGCCGGGCAGTCTACTTCGATCCGGTTTTACTGTGTAGAACAAGTCAGGGGCGTAGCTATCATTACGAAAAAAAAAGCCCGGGCTTACACATGATTTTTGATAAAAAGGGTTGGGCAAGCCCTCAATACTATCTAAATATAAAGCTTTGCAACCTATCGGGTTTACACGAACAAATTGGCTTGCTACGCGCCTGTCAGTGCAGTAAGTAGTGATACTGACCTGTATCTAGAGGCGAGCCGTCGTGGTTGAACTCATTCTGTCCTGTCAACCGTTTATATCTTGTTATACATGGTGGTGTGATGCTCTTGACTTTGGCATCTCATTGACCGATGGCCAGGCGTGAGTGACGACAGATAAACCATGGACTGTAGCTTGTGTTAGATAACACGAGACCGGCCAGTGACTGTACAGTACCTTTCCACTGTGTTATTACGAAAGTGATTTTGTGTGGGTGATACTCGTGTCGTACGACGATTGACCTTTATACCTTCATGAATATGACATCACGGCGGGGACAGAAGCGTGTCTCACGCTGGGTACCGTTGTGTAGAATATGTGTCACGGGTCTAAGACGTGACGAGCAAACGTATAACCACCTGACCCTCTCTGTGTTGAGAGTGTAAATAACTCAAATATGAGAAGGATTCTGAATTATAAAATTTTCAAAACAGAATACACAAACCTGGAATACGAGTTCGGAATTTGGACCCCTACCCCGGCGGCTGTTGCACGAAGCGATCTCAGGGCTGCGACTGTCGGTAGTCTATGTTAAAGTAAGAGGGTCACGATGACCTCAGGTATGCGACTGTCATAGCTCTGTGTTACAGTAAGGAACTTACAATTGCCTTAGTGTTTCAACTGTCGTAATGTCGTAAACCTGTGTTAAAGTAGAACAGTTACTATCACCTTAGCGCTACGACTGTCGTAAGCTCGTAAACATGTGTTAAAGTAGAAGTGTTATCAGTCAACTCAGCGCTACGACTGTCGTAATGTCGTAAACGTGTTAAATTAGGAGTGTAACTGTCACCTTAGCGTTACAACTGTCCTAAACCTGTGTTAAAGTAGAAGAGTTACTATCACCTTATCGCTATGACTGTCGTAAATATGTGTTAAAGTAGAAGAGTAACCATCATCTTAGCGCTACGATTGTCGTAAACCTGTGTTAAAGTAGAAGAGTTACTGTCACCTTAGCCCTACGACTGTCGTAATGTCGTAAACCTGTGTTAAAGTAGAAGAGTTACTGTCACCTTAGCGCTACGACTGTCGTAAATATGTGTTAAAGTAGAAGAGTTACTGTCACCTTAGCGCTACGACTGTCGTAAATATGTGTTAAAGTAGAAGAGTTATTGTCACCTTAGCGCTACGACTGTCGTACATATGTGTTAAAGTAGAAGAGTTACTATCACCCTAGCGCTACGACTGTCGTAAACCTGTGTTTAAGTAGAAGAGTTATTGTCACCTTAGCGCTACGACTGTCGTAAATATGTGTTAAATTAGAAGACTTACTGTCACCTTAGCGCTACGACTGTCGTAATTTCGTAAACATGTGTTAAAGTAGAAGTGTTATCCGTCACCTTGGCGCTACGACTGTCGTAATGTCGTAAACCTGTGTTAAAGTAGAAGAGTTACTATCACCTTAGAGCTACAACTGTCCTAAACCTGTGTTAAAGTAGAAGAGTTACTATCACCTTAGCGCTACGACTGTCCTAAACCTGTGTTAAAGTAGAACAGTTACTATCACCTTAGCGCTACGACTGTTGTAAACCTGTGTTAAAGTAGAAGAGTTACTTTTTTTAGCGCTACGACTGTCGTAAACCTGTGTTAAAGTAGAACAGTTACTATCACCTTAGCGCTACGACTGTCGTAAACCTGTGTTAAAGTAGAAGAGTTACTTTTTTTAGCGCTACAACTGTCCTAAACCTGTGTTAAAGTAGAAGAGTTACTATCACCTTAGCGCTACGACTGTCGTAAACCTGTGTTAAAGTAGAAGAGTTAGTTTTTTTTAGCGCTACAACTGTCCTAAACCTGTGTTAAAGTAGAAGAGTTACTGTCACCTTAGCGCTACGACTGTCGTAAATATGTGTTAAAGTAGAAGAGTAACCATCATCTTAGCGCTACGATTGTCGTAAACCTGTGTTAAAGTAGAAGAGTTACTGTCACCTTAGCGCTACGACTGTCGTAATGTCGTAAACCTGTGTTAAAGTAGAAGAGTTACTGTCACCTTAGCGCTACGACTGTCGTAAATATGTGTTAAAGTAGAAGAGTTACTGTCACCTTAGCGCTACGACTGTCGTAAATATGTGTTAAAGTAGAAGAGTTATTGTCACCTTAGCGCTACGACTGTCGTACATATGTGTTAAAGTAGAAGAGTTAAAGTAGAAGAGTTACTGTCACCTGTGTTAAAGTAGAAGAGTTATTGTCACCTTACGAGCGCTACGACTGTCGTAAATATGTGTTAAACCTGTGTTAAAGTAGAAGAGTTACTATCACCTTAGCGCTACGACTGTCGTAAACCTGTGTTATGTGTTAAAGTAGAAGAGTTACTGTCACCTTAGCGCTACGACTGTGTAAAGTAATGTCGTAAACCTGTGTTAAAGTAGAAGAGTTACTAAAGTCAGAAGCGCTACGAGCGCTACTACGACTGTCGTAAAATGTGTTAAAGTAGAAGAGTTACTGTCACCTTAGCGCTACGACTGTCGTAAATATGTGTTAAAGTAGAAGAGTTATTTTTTAGCGCTACAACTGTCGTAAACCTGTGTTAAAGTAGAAGAGTTACTGTCACCTTAGCGCTACGACTGTCGTAAATATGTGTTAAAGTAGAAGAGTTACTATCACCTTAGCGCTACGACTGTCGTAAACCTGTGTTAAAGTAGAAGAGTTACTGTCACCTTAGCGCTACGACTGTCGTAAACATGTGTTAAAGTAGAAGAGTTACTGTCACCTTAGCGCTACGACTGTCGTAAACCTGTGTTAAAGTAGAAGAGTTACTGTCACCTTAGCGCTACGACTGTCGTAAACCTGTGTTAAAGTAGAAGAGTTACTATCACCTTAGCGCTACGACTGTCGTAAACCTGTGTTAAAAGTAGAAGAGTAAACCTGTGTTAAAGTAGAAGAGTTACTGTCACCTTAGCGCTACGACTGTCGTAAACCTGTGTTAAAGTAGAAGAGTTACTATCATCTTAGCGCTACGACTGTCGTAAACCTGTGTTAAAGTAGAAGAGTTACTGTCACCTTAGCGCTACGACTGTCGTAAACCTGTGTTAAAGTAGAAGAGTTACTGTCACCTTAGCGCTACGACTGTCGTAAACCTGTGTTAAAGTAGAAGAGTTACTATCACCTTAGCGCTACGACTGTCGTAAACCTGTGTTAAAGTAGAAGAGTTAGTTTTTTTAGCGCTACAACTGTCCTAAACCTGTGTTAAAGTAGAAGAGTTACTATCACCTTAGCGCTACGACTGTCGTAAACCTGTGTTAAAGTAGAAGAGTTACTGTCACCTTAGCGCTACGACTGTCGTAAACCTGTGTTAAAGTAGAAGAGTTACTGTCACCTTAGCGCTACGACTGTCGTAATGTCGTAAACCTGTGTTAAAGTAGAAGAGTTACTGTCACCTTAGCGCTACGACTGTCGTAAATATGTGTTAAAGTAGAAGAGTTACTGTCACCTTAGCGCTACGACTGTCGTAAATATGTGTTAAAGTAGAAGAGTTATTGTCACCTTAGCGCTACGACTGTCGTACATATGTGTTAAAGTAGAAGAGTTACTATCACCCTAGCGCTACGACTGTCGTAAACCCTGTTTAAGTAGAAGAGTTAGTCACCTTAGCGCTACGACTGTCGTAAATATGTTAGCGAAGACTTACTGTCGTAGCGCTACGACTGTCGTAAATCGTAAACCTGTGTTAAAGTCACCTTAGCGCTTGGCGCTACGACTGTCGTAATGTCGTAAACCTGTGTTAAAGTAGAAGAGTTACTGTCACCTTAGCGCTACGACTGTCGTAAATATGTGTTAAAGTAGAAGAGTTACTGTCACCTTAGCGCTACGACTGTCGTAAATATGTGTTAAAGTAGAAGAGTTATTGTCACCTTAGCGCTACGACTGTCGTAATATGTGTTAAAGTAGAAGAGTTACTATCACCCTTAGCGCTACGACTGTCGTAAACCTGTGTTAAAGTAGAAGAGTTATTATCACCTTAGCGCTACGACTGTCGTAAATATGTGTTAAATTAGAAGAGTTACTGTCACCTTAGCGCTACGACTGTCGTAATTTCGTAAACGACTGTGTTAAAGTAGAAGAGTTATTTTTAGCGCTACAACTGTCCTAAACCTGTGCTAGAACTGTTACTAATCACCTTAGCGCTACGACTGTCGTAAACCTGTGTTAAAGTAGAAGAGTTACTATCACCTTAGCGCTACAACTGTCCTAAACCTGTGTTAAAGTAGAACAGTTACTGTCGTAAACCTGTGTTAAAGTAGAAGAGCTTTTAGACTGTCCTAAACCTGTGTTAAAGTAGAAGAGTTACTATCACCTTAGCGCGACTGTCGTAAACCTGTAGAAGAGTTAAACCTGACTGTGTTAAAGTAGAACAGTTACTTTCACCTTAGCGCTACGACTGTCGTAAACCTGTGTTAAAGTAGAAGAGTTACTTTTTTTAGCGCTACGACTGTCCTAAACCTGTGTTAAAGTAGAAGAGTTACTATCACCTTAGCGCTACGACTGTCGTAAACATGTGTTAAAGTAGAAGAGTTAGTTTTTTTAGCGCTACAACTGTCCTAAACCTGTGTTAAAGTAGAAGACTTACTGTCACCTTAGTGCTACGACTGTCCTAAACCTGTGTTAAAGTAGAAGCGTTACTGTCACCTTAGTGCTACGACTGTCGTAATGTGGTAAAAATGTGTTAAAGTAGAAGAGTTACTATCATCTTAGCCCTACGACTGTCCTGTTGGTGAGAGAGAGCGTGTGTGTTAGCGCGCGTGCATGTATGTGTGTGTGCTCTCCCCCACCCCACCCCCTCACCCCTTATAATGACGCAGTATACCAAGATCCCCTACTCATACAGACTATACCATTTCCAAGCGGGCCAGTCACCGTTTCATCCCCTCAATGCCAAGCGCTAGGTGCCATGTTTGAACCTTGGCCCGGCTGGGGATCGAACCACCTGCTTTCCACTCTACAGGCAGGCGCTGTCTCCAATGCACCATGGAGCCTGTCAGCTACACATGAGCTATATCTCCTTATTAACAGCAGTTAAATTACAAAAAAGTCGGGTTCAGACGGACGACACCATTGGAGAAGATAACCTAGTCAGGTTGCGGGCTCAATGAGAGGACCATTGACATGAACGTAGGTTATAAAAGAAAACATGTCAATTGCCGCATGTTATCATCTTTTCGATATTTAGTGAGAAGGACCGTTATGACACAGGCTCGTCACCCTACTACCCCGTGGACAAGCCTTAGTGAAAAACAGAAAGATAGCATGAGATAACATGACTGATGGACTCTTACAACGCGCAACACGTGTGAGGTGAGTGTGTAAACACTGCAACCTCAGTCGAGCGACTTATTTTAAGGAATATGCAATACATTAACTTACAAAAAACTAACTGAAATATAACTAACATTTTACACAGGCCTCAGACAGTATGACAGATACAAGTCAGTTCTGACATCACTACGAGACATGGGTTGATGTGTATATTTCATCGATTGAATTAATTCAGCTGAATGCAATGTTTAACGTGCATAAATTCGATTGTTTAGCCTGTGGCTGTGGTTGGCTGACTGACTGAGTTTTGCTTTTACGCCGCTTTTAGCAATATTCCAGCAATATCACGGCGGGGGACACCAGAAATGGGCTTCACTCATTGTACCCATGTGAGGATTCGAACCCGGGTCTTCAGCGTGACGAGCCAACGCTTTAACCACTAGACTACCCCACCGCCCCCGCTGTGGTTGGATGAAATCGGACAACGTATCATTGCGCGTAGGAAGGATACGTAGCTATATTCATTTCTCGTGAGAGACTGCTTACAAGGGTTACACGCTCCTACAGATATACACAAACCTCTGGCCCCGATTTCTCGAAACAAACTTAAGTTTTTACTCAAATTTCAAACTGAGTTTGACAATTTGAAACAGCTGAATTTTTAACTCAACTGCATTTTTTAAATAAAAAAAGCCCAAACAACTTAAGTAATAATATATACCAAACTCAAATTGTCTACTAAGTTTGAGTTTAATATTGATTTCTATATTCATTTCTCGTCAGAGACTGCATACAAGGGTTACACGCTCCTACAGATATACACAAACCTCTCATCTCCCTAGCGACTTTTAATACTATTTTCCAATTTCTTCACTCCCCACTTTTTACTTTTTCCACATAGGGAATTAAAAAACGTTGTTCATTATTTGTGTCGTATGAACAACAAACAAGACAATTAAATTAAGAGGTTAATTTATCAGCAGCAAGACTTGGCAGTAGTGAATGAGAGTTTAGTTTTACGCCGCTGTTAGCAATATTCCAGCAACATCACGGCGGGGGACATCAGAAACGGGCTTCACACATTGTACCCATGTGGGGAATCGAACCCGGGTCTTCGGTGTTACAAGCCAGCGCTTTCACCACTAGGCTGTCCTACCACCCCACATGGGAGTAATACCTCAAAGGGAACACTCTCATAGAAATTGCGGTTTAGAAATTTAACTTGACAACCAAACTATACTTGTCACAAGAGGCGACTAAGTGGATTGGTTGTGGATGTCGTCGTATCCCAGTCGCGTACTCATGATGTCGACTACTGAGGTGTCGACTTACTGTCGTCATACGGCTGGGTTATTGCTTAATATGGCGTAAAGCAGCACACACCAAACATGATCGCGTCCAGTTATCTTTCAAAACCAATGCCTCCAATTATTGAGGTCATACATTGTAAACACCTGAATAAATCATCTAGTTTCCATAATAACAGGAAATCTCTACTGAAACAATGTCGACTGTAATATTCGACCATATCATGAGAATATGTTTGTGACTCGCTATCAAATAGTGATGATACCAGCTGCAACACGTGTTAAGGCCTTTTGAAATATGATTAAGAACACCAAGCTTAATTCTAACATTTTCGTGTTTATTGAGAGGGAACATGAAAAAGCAAACAGTAGGTACACTGTGGAAATCCGCGTGTAATTCTTTAAAATGGTATAATCATAACAAATCATGAGGTTGCATATTAAATTATCACAGCAACAAAAAACCTCACACGTCAGTACAAAATCGGTAACTTCGTTCAGCGCAGTCGTGCAACACAAGACCCACCCATTCTAGCACTCGTCCTTTAGGACACTCTGTACCGGAACAAGATCCACCCATTCTTGCACCCGTCCTTTAGGACACTCTGTACCGGAACAAGATCCACCCATTCCAGCACCCGTCCTTTAGGACACTCTGTACCGGAACAAGACCCGACCATTCTAGCACCCGTCCTTTAGGACCTACTGGTCCGGAACAAGATCCACCTATTCTAGCACCCGACACTCTGTACCAGAACAAGACCCACTCATTCTAGAACCCGTCTTTTAGGACCTACTGTTCCGGAACAACATCCACCCATTCTAGCACCCGTCCCTTAGGACCTACTGGTCCGGAACAAGATCCACCCCTTCTAGCACCCGTCTTTTAGGACGCTCTATACCGGAACAAGACCCACCCATTCTAGCACCCGTCCTTTAGGACCTACTGGTCCGGAACAAGATCCACCCATTCTAGCACCCGTCCTTTGGGACACTCTGTACCGGAACAAGACCCACCCATTCTAGCAACCGTCCTGTAGGACCTACTGGTCCGGAACAAGACCCACCCATTCGAGCACCCGTCCTTTAGGACACTCTGGTCCGGAACAAGACCCACCCATTCGAGCACCCGTCCTTTAGGACACTCTGGTCCGGAACAAGACCCACCCATTCTAGCACCCGTCCTTTAGGACACTCTGAGTCGGAAGTGAACATCGTTGTATTTTGGGCTCGTGAAAACATAAACGTAAAATAAATATCAAATTAAACAGAACCACATTCAATGTTGCAAGCTGTTTAAAACATTTTAAAATCAAATGCAACAAGAATATTTAAATAAATTGAACTGAATCAAATTTCGACGTTTTCGAAGTCCAGATTGATCCCCCATGATTATTCGTCAGCTCCTTTGAACTCCAGCACAGCGTCGATGTAATCAAGAGCCAGTCGGTCAGCCCAAGGCGCCAGTGTGGATTCTTCAAGCAAACCGCAGTGACCTCCCTTGGTCGTCATCACCAGTAACCAATTCGAATTCTCCTTAAACATGGCGACTGGTACATTCCTGGCGAGGGAAATGGGATCGTCCCCGGTATTTATACACATAAATGGTACCGAGACATTGAGAATATTTCTCATTGGATCGTTATGCTTCCAGTACTCAAAGACGTCTTTATACCCGTAGAATTTGCAATAGACTTGGGTGTCGAAATCCATGAAACATTTTGCGTTGTAGGCCGCTTCAAGATCAAGTAATGGCGATAACACCTTGGAATGTTTCTTCAAGATTTTCTTTACAGACGAAAGAAGTAGAAATTGGTAGATGAAGTTTAAGGGTTTTGTAAACAGGTCCAAGGCATCGAATGCTGGACATATGGCCACACAGGTTGATATAATACAGTCAGCTCCGTATTCACCTAGATAGGAGGCAAGAAGTCCCGACCCTGCACTGGAGCCTACAGCTACAAGCTTTGCTGCCGGATTCTTGTGGCGTAAATATTTCACACAGTGCCTCATGTCCTTAGGATCGCCAAACCCTTGCATTCTAGGTGTCGCCAGTACTGAATCCCCGTGTCCACGTTTGTTGAATACCACAACTCGGTAACCTCGCTTTAACGCCATGCTGCACAGTTCGCTCATGTCTTCAGCGCTGGCCGTCAAACCAGGCACCACTATAACAATTGTACTTGTGTCTGAAACAGGTTCCGAGCCACCCTGTGCCCAGTCCAAGGCAACCACACCTCCGTCATCTAGATCCACGTACTCTCGCTTGAAGGTAACTTTGGTTTTCGGCACCAACGTTGCTATAATCGTGTGAAGGTGGCTATTCTGTAACCAAAATGGCGGCCGATAAGGGGAGGTAAATCCAGGTTTGGTTTTAAGATGTGTCGATGAAGGTCGGAGTCCACGTAATGAAGTTCAGGAAGAGTGTACTTGTTACGGCGGTAGTACCATGCGACGACGCAGACGATGGTAACGACACATCCGGTAAGCACGTACACGACCTCTGAAGAGAACAACATTTTCGACAGTAGATCGTCTAAATCACTTTCTTCCTCCAAGGCACGGGACAGCTGCAAATAAACAGTACTATCTTTCACACAGAAACTGCTAGCTTGTGTTGCCAAGAAACTGCTATAACATTGTATTATGATGTATCTAGGTTTCACGAACTTAAGAATAATACTTCCGTGTATGCCGCAAGGTCGACAAAATAGGATGTGCTCAGGGTCGGTGACTTGAGTGATTGTCATCCTAACCCGACATATGCGACCATGTTTACAATCACCATTGAGACGATTTCATTCCAACGTATCGTTCAGGTAGTAGTGGTGGTAGTAGTAGTAGTAGTAGTAGTAGTAGTAGTAGTAGTATCAATGAAGTGCATCACCTTTACAGATGTGATTTTATTAAAGGTTACACTGCCACATTATAACTGTCCTACTCCACAATCCATATCCGGCAAATATTTTCCGTATTCTTCCCCTAAGAGTCGCCTTTTCGCAGTTGCAAATAAGATTATGGTATAAAGACATACTTTGCAATCGTTCAGCGAGGTATGTAAGGTAAGTATTGTTACTTGGGGCATCAGCATAGTCTGCTGATAATAACGATGAATGGCAAAATAACTCAAAATTGGGATAGTCTCCTAAATGTCAATGCATTAAACGTCAATGCAATAAAAGGTAATGAATACCCTGTACCCAACAACATCTGTTTTAACATTTGAAACGCCTCCCTGGAAAAGCTGTTTAAAAGAACTATCATGTTAATATGTGTACTCTCTCGTTGACGACTTTGGTAACGCGACGCTGCCAGTCTCCCCTGTTACCCGACCAAGGGAGTCATAAAACTAGCTATTCATCATCCTACAAAGTTGTTTTCAATAGTAAAAGTATTGTGAGGAAGTCGTATACTGTGGTAGCGTGTTTTGAAACTGTCCTCGCCCTTAGATATCGTAAGATTGTCGTAAATATAAGAAAACACGTACCACACAGATTATATTATATTATCCAAAGGGCGGCATAATAAAAAAATTAATAATCTGCTTTATGTTGAAAATGTGACATTTTAACTTTGGAATTCAAATCGACCCTTCGAGCACACGAAGAAAGCATCAGAGATTTCACCTCAGAAATATTGTTTTTGCGATTACGATTCTCATACCTTGGGAGTCGATAGCCTAAAATTCAAATTTGATTGACGTCTGACCTGAAATAGGGTGAAAACACCTACCTTTTGGATAATTTGGGAAGGATGAAAGCATTATGGTGTCGACAGGCTATGGTAGTGACCGTGACCTTTTGTATCAGGGGCAGTTAATATTACTTCATAATCTAGTTGGGAGTGGTTTCCCTTTGATCATGTACCGTCGTCAGACGAGCTCTACTGCAGTACATTGTACATCAAAGTTACAGTTTCCTTACGCGCAATGTTTCCCCTTCATATCGTCTGTACCGCATTTCTATCAATACCTTTGTTTCATTTTGCATTAATTATTAGAAAATAAATATATTTAGCATGACAAAGTTCAGAGTCACTAGCGTCTTTCGTCAGTTTTTACATCTTGAATCGCCTTGGACGAAGATAAAATTTATGTTATAATGCATTCAATAAGGAAATACAATGTCATAACCAATCTGTGAAGCATAGCATGAATAAAGTACATGTTGAATATATTTCAAGCATTTGTATTGTGCATTGTTTCGCTGTTGTAAAATAACACAAATATTATCGGAAATATTGAAAGATGATGATGATGATGATGATAAATGAGAGTCTGCTGAAATATTGTTTAAGAGACAGATCGCTTCGTAGATTAACGGTACATAATTATTCCATTAAAAAGAACTATTCATTAAAATGTTCACTTCAAAATTTGAACCCTTAGCACAAATGAAAGTAATAAAATTTATCAGGTATTTTCATAAAGAACGGCGATTTTAGAACAATGGAATATAAAGCGGGTTCCCATACTCATTGGGATTTAAAGTGTTGTTAGCATTTAACATCGTCCATTTAATTGAGTAAACATTACTTCATTGGAATTTATAGATACATGTACAATTGATAGCTGTTTTCACGACAATAATCTTCGTTTTCGTCTTATAATATTTAGTATTGGTCTATTTATCAATAAATGGAAACAATAAACAGTATTGACAACCGACCCAGTGCAGATCAGAATTGTGCACGTATCTTGAATGTGAATAACGGCTGTTAATTCAAAAGGTATCACCGTTATCATTCATGATAACTTGTCCCACTTTCGTCCTTGACATTGCCCGTTTGCGAGTGGTCCACTTAAAGGGGTACATAATGGATTCTCCTTTGGCCAATTGTTTTAGCTATTATGGCTGTGGTGTGGCAACACTGAACTTTTTAACATTTCATGAACTTGAAAATTACCTTTACTGACTGACTGACTGAGTTTGGTTTTACGCCGCTTTTAGCAATATTCCAGCAACATCACGGCGGGGGACACCAGAAATGGGCTTCACACATTGTACCCATGTGGGGATTCGAACCCGGGTCTTTGGCGTGACGAGCCAACGCTTTAACCATTAGGCTACCCCACCCCCAAAATTACCTTTACACTAGCACAGGTAAGCTTTTGTTTTATTGTAGACATGGCATCGCTTATCTAAACACGTGATTCTCCTAATAAGCGACTAAACAGGGATCAGAAACTCAATGTTGCTAACTTGGATAATGTCATCGTTTCACAACTGCGTAGATTGATGCTTATGATATCAATCACTAGACCAGACTTGATTATTTTAAGACCGCAGTTATATATTAATGCATACTCCCTTTTAGGAAGTTGTCACAAGTTATACTTAAGAATACACTTTCTTAGTAAAGTACATGTTTTCTTCAGAGTGATTTACAAAGTGCGCATCGGTATGTTCCACTTTGTGTGAGCTCGAAGGCTGAGTGGGATAGATGGCAAACTGTGAGTGCCGGCGATTTGCTGACTCACTCTGAGAGTGTGTTTTAAATGCCGAAAAGGGCTCAAACCAGACAGAACTAAAGTTTTTACTTCACTGAGAAAATGTAATCCTAAATATAACACGTGCGTCGCTTTAGCGGCGTTAAACCGAAAGTAGAGAGTGTAACACACAAGTGATACCAACCTGTATCGGGGCCTGCAGGCAGCGTGACAGTTCACCCTGTACCACCACATTAACTGTTTATATCACGAACTATCTGGTGGTGTGACACGTCTGACTTTCGCACCTCATTGACTGATGGCCTTACGTTAGTGAGAACAGCATCAGATAACATGTGGACTGTTGACCCGTCAATAGGACAGGTGTGTTTACATTGATTGATTGATTGTTGTTTAAAGTCGCACTCAGAAATATTACAGCTATATGGCGGCCGTCTGTACTTAATCGACCACACAAACCAGTGATAAACAGCATGGACATCGATCTATACAATTGGGATACGATGACATGTCAAGCAAGTCAACGAACTTGACCACCCGATCCCGACAAGTCAAACCATTGATTACACAACAGTCTCGTTTCCATCTGACTGGGTTCCGTCCTATTGCGCAACTTAGTACAATAACCAGTCCGTAATTTTGAGGCCAACTCATTCAACTGGATCTATAAATGTTAATCAGTATTATTTGATACACCTAATTACTTGTATATTGCAACACTACGCTCCTTCTAATCCTTGCAAACAGGTCGTGCAGCGTGCTCTGTCGTACAGCGACCTCTGACAAACGGAAACCTGGAAATCGTGGAAATCTCTAAACGAGGCTCTCCCGCTAGAAACGTTTGGCGGTCTGGTACGTACTTGATATTATATCAATCACATTGTACGTTACGAAAATACACTTAATAAGCGCACGGAACACATCATAGGTGTAACCAGTGAGCCATATGAATTGTGAATCGTTGTACGACCTCTTCAAACAGGGTCAGTCTTTGACGTCTTAATTACTGACATGCTGCCTTAAACTCAACATAAAATATAGAAATACAATTTTTTTAACTATAAAATTAAAATATTAATTTGTAAATACTATTTTCTTATGAAACAAGGAATTGCAATTTAGTGTAACCATAGTTGTTTGTAGTGTCTCTTTTCACATTCACACGAAAAATTCGGATCGGGTGAAAAGTAGGTCATTGTCTGAATTGGTTAATGAGACTCGTGGCTCGGTTTGAGTCGTCTCTATGACAAGCATGGGTTGCTGAAGACCAATTCTAACCCGGATCTTCACGGGTTGGTGTGTTTACATGACAAGCCCAGCCGACTACATACCTCAACAAATATGTTAAGAAGGATTTATATCAATATAAAGTATACTTTCTTCGATATACACGAAGAATAATAAGTAATAAAATGAAAAGGTCAGTTGTTGAAATCACTGTATGAGTCATCGACGATACGTACTTGCCAGTCTACTGGAACCAGTTACGTTATGTTTAGCAGGGGCGGATATTCCACTGGTAAGAAGAACTTAAAACTTGACACTGCAAGTGGTGACATTTGTGGGAAATGTGTTCGTTAGGCGCACGCACATGTCAGAGGATTTGGGACATCATCTTCAAAGTCTTAACTGCATCATCACTCTGGTCTTTTGAGTGAAAATATTTGTGTTGGTTATCTGAACGATTCAGTCTGAAAAATATAGATATAGACTTAGCAACGGAAGGATTTAAAGGTGCTTATGATTTGCTTTGCGTATACAGCAAAAATACAAGCTACCCCAATCAAGCATTCATTTTACACACACGTACATACACACGCACGCACGCATACATATTGTCTTATATTGTTATTGAGACTACTGTCAGACTGGGGGACTGGGTAATTATCCTCTAGACATACACCCGTCAGATTTACATCCCAACAATATGTAAATGTCGGGTGTCGTGCCGGGAAGGCTACAATTTATTTTTCAGAAGTCCCGGGAAGGCAAAAAAATATATTTCGGATTTATCGGGAGAGCTAATTTCCAAGGAAGTACCGCCAAAGCTAAAGATACGGTGCCGGGAAGGATAATCCATGTCGGGAGTAGATAGATTTCTTTTCAAAACATTGTTATAATAGAGTGTTCATCTTCTTCGCTTGTTTAGAACTTTATTTAAGTGGCGGTTGTAGTTCAGATGTGTATAAGTTGCTTTGGAAAACTATTTACAAGTATTTTGAATGATCGACTGACTAAATTTACAGAAAGTGAAACCATTATACATCGTCATCTCAATCAGGTTTCAGGAAACCTATCACCTCTCTTATTCTCATCATTTATAAATGACCTTGAGTCTCCTCCATTTTACAAAGCAGGCTCCAGGGGAGCTCAAACCGAATGTATAGATGATGAAATGTGCTTAATGTTACAGGTTCTAGGTAGATTTGCTCTATGCAGATGACAGATCGATGCTCATACAATGTATGGTATAGTCCAGGGCCCCGTTTCACAAAGCTCTCGTAGGCCTAAGATCTCGTCACTTTTCTCGTAGCATTCGTACCTCTAATACTGTAACATAGGGAGTACGAATGCTACGAGAAAAGTGACGAGATCTTAGGCCTACGAGAGCTTTGTGAAACGGGGCCCAGGCTCAACGGATTCCTTACTGCCGTCGTGCAGCTGGGATACTGTGGAGCGTGACGTCACGTTAAGCAACAAACCAATAAACAACGGTGAGAGTTCTATGGATATTCATCTTATTAATATGACTGACGTTTCGGTGTAGCTACTCACACCGTTATCCAGCGAGCTACATCGAACCGTCACTTATATTAATAATACAGAATTTGTATCACACCAATTCCTTAATGGCGCTCAAAGAAGTTAACAAACCAATATGCCAGTCTACAGAGCACAAGTACTGACTCACACTAGTCCAGCAGAAATTGTATCAAACCCGGACATTTAGGATAACACCATATACCATCTCAATGTAGTATGGATAATATAATCGTTTCAAGTTTTTGTATTTCAATTCGAAAATGTCATTTTGTAAACACAAACAAACGTTTTTCGTTATAACATAGTAAGCGGTGCTTACCATTCTCCTGGTATTTATACAAGCCACTGAATGATATGCATGAAGTGTGTTTATCTGACTGGCTGACATTTTACAAAGATGAGTACTTTCTTCACGAAAGAGGAAGAGATTAACAGACATATTCCACCCTCCATGATCCATTTATCATATCTGACTTATCTTACTAGAAATACCATAGATCACGTTGCCACCAAATCTCAGAGATCAGAGATTTTAGCACACAATTCCTCTAGCCCATCAGTGTCATTTGATTGGATGAGTATTCGTTGGTTTCACATGCGCAGAGCGTGTAAAAATATCCACGGGCCAACTTCCGGTTTGGTCGTAAGCTTTACCGATAGTGTAAACACACTCTAAAGAAAGCAAACATCAAAACAAATATATGGTTTTATGTCGAATTTAACTGATCTCAATTTATTTATGAATGGAAGGGACCGGAATCAGTTAAATAAATAGCTTAACGTTTGTTAACATGCTCTTGTATAAACACATCTCACCACCACCCGTCCACCGTCCTTCCTGCACATCCCCTTCTCACAAGTAAAAAAACACATCTCTGATGCAGTTGCCACCAAAATAGGACATCAATTATTGAAAAGCATAGGCAAGTGGATGTATGTACTCAACTATGAACAGTTGTCACGCGTAAATAATATTCATACAGCATTTATTTAGAGTGTGTTTACAATATCGCTAATACGACCAAACCGGAAGTTGACCACTGGATATTTTTACACGCTCTACGCATGCGCACAGCGAGTCGAAAATTAATGTGATACCAACGAATTCAAAGGATCGTGTGTTTCTCATCGTAAGAGGAACAGAGATGATGCAATCTAGTGTTCAACCTTCCTACAGGATGGACCCGGCCCATTAAATACAAACAAGCGTGACAACAAGCAACAGCTGACTTTATTGAGATGAAATTGAATGTGACAAGGACATTTCATGAATGATCCGCTGCTTCCCGAGCAGTGTGTAATGTAACATTCCACCATTATTGGAGACAGGATGGGGAGTGCATCACAGACGTGCATCACCAACGTAGCCCGAACTTTATGTTTGTCATGAGTGAGTGAGTAAATTAAGCTTTACGCCTCTTTGAGCAATATCACGGTGGGAGACACCAAAGATGGGTTTCACACATTGTACACTTGTTGGAAATCCAACCTGGCTCTTCCGCGTGACTGGTGAACGCTTTAACCACAAGGATGCCCCGCCGTACCAGGTCATGAAGGAGAGAGCAAATAAATACTAGATAAATAACGACATGAAAAAATATTTGAAGAACTTTTTTGAGTAAATTGTTGATGTCATAAACAATGAAAAAAATATATCGGCATGTGTGCAGTGTAAATCTGCACTGAGCGTATATAACTGCACCTCCCAGATTGCCGATTAAGTCAATACCACAATCATACCGCCGATATATAAGTACCCAATGACGTCATTTAACGCAAGATGGCAACACCGGCCTAATTATCCCAAACATTAGTCAAACAGTTAACCGTTGGCCGGTAGTGGATGTGGAACAAATATATACTGACGGAGACAAATAAGGGAACACCACTACATCGAAGTATTCCTTTATATTTTCTCAGAATTGAGGAAAATTATGGAAAAGCATAAAGGAGCGATTGTACGTTCATGTGTTCCTATATTTGGTTCCCTTAGTATATGTTTTTAATTGGTTTGTGAACACAGAACCGCAAATTACACCCATCAAATCCTACAGAATAGCATTAAATTTCTTACCAAGATTGGTGACTGTATTGACGATGGGGAAGGTAAGCATTGATAAACTGATAAGAGTGAGTCAGTGAGTTTGGTTTTACGCCGCTTTTAGCAATATTCCAGCAATATCACGGCGGGGGACACCAGAAATGAGCTTCACACAATGTACCCATTTGGGGATTCGAACCCGGGTCTTCGGCGTGACGAGCGAACGCTTTAACCACTAGGCTACCCCACCGCCCCGATAAACTGATAAGAACGTATACTCATAGAATTCACCTATGTGAATTATAGTTCATTCTCCGCAGCTTGGAACTCCAGAACAGCGTCGATGTAATCAAGAGCTAGTCGGTCGGACCAAGGCGTCAGTGTGGATTCTTCAAGGAAGCCGCAGTGACCTCCCTTGGATGTTGTCGCAAGCAGCCAGTTCGAATTCTCACGAAACAAGTGGAATGGTATATTCCTGCCAAGGGGAAATGGGATCGTCCTTGCTACTTATGCACATAATAGGAACAGATATGTTAAGATAATTTCTCAGTGGATTGTTATGTTTCCAGTATTCAAACACATCTTTATACCCGTAGAATTTGCAATAGACGTGGGTATCGAAATCCATGAAACATTTTGAGTTGTACGCCGCATCAAGGTCAAGCAATTGCGACAACACCTTGGCATGTTTCTTCAAGATTTTCTTCACAGACGAAAGAAGTAGAAATTGGTAGATCAAATTTAAGGGTTTTGTGAAGAATTCCACAGTTTTGTAAGCTGGACATATGGCCACACCTGTTGCAAGATGACAGTCAGCTCCGTATTCACCAAGATAGGAGGCAAGGAGGCCCGACCCTGCACTGGAGCCTACAGACACAAGTTTTGCTGCGGGATTCTTGTCCCGTAAATACTCCACACAGTGTCTCATATCCTTCGCATCACCAAACCCTTGCATTTTAGGTGTCGCCAGTACTGAGTCCCCGTGTCCACGTTTGTTGAATACCACAACTCGGTAACCTCGCTTTAACGCCATGTTGCAAAGTTCGCTCATATTGTCAGCGCTCGCTGTCAACCCGGGCACCACAATGAGAATAGTACTTGTGTCTGAAACAGGTTTAGAGCCACCCTGTGCCCAGTCCAAGGCAACCACACCTCCGTCATCAAGATCCACGTACTCGCGCTTGAAAGTCACTTTGGGCTTTGGCACGAACGTTGCTATAATCGTATGAAGATGGTTGTTCTGTAGCCAAAATGGCGGCCGGTAAGGGGAGGTAAATCCAGGTTTGGTTTTCAAGATATGTCGATGAAGGTTGGAGTCGACGTAATGAAGGTCCGGAAGAGTGTACTTGTTACGGCGGTAGTACCACACAGCAACGGTGACGATGGCAACGACACTTCCCAAAACGACGTACATGGGTTCTGGAGAGATCTGCATTTTTCACAGGAGAGGTGTAAATCGCTGCAATTATCCAGGCGACGGGTTTTGTCTGCAAACAAAACGTAAGACCTGATATCGTTCACATAAAGAATTGTTTTCTTAAAAAATTTTTTACAAGAGCACCTTGGTGCTCGGACACGACTCTACTATTCAGAATGCTTGATTTATTCAATTTCGGATGGAATAATATACCCTTTATATAGAACGAACCTATGTCAGAATAACTGCGTAAGAGAAGAATATCATGCGCTTTTAAATTGTAATTACTTTAGCAAATTCAGAAAAAAACTGTTGTCACCACTTTTACATGTTCACCCAAACATGTTAAAACTTTAAAATTAAGAACAAATCTGTAATTGATCAGTTAAATAAACTTAGTTTTCTCGTAATGCTAACCTAATGCAAAGTTATCTAGATAAATAAATACACGCCTCTACCCTTTACACAATGAGTTTTAATTAGTATGTACATAAATATACTTTGCGGGGTATGAAACTCCAAAAAGTTCAGCCAGACCACAGGGCTGGTTAGATGTAAACATGCCTGCCCACAAATAATTTAGGTTTGACAAGCGAAGTAGTTTATCATCCAAATGGATTTCATAATTTATTCTTACGAGTGAATTAATAATGATTTATTACCCTGAAATATGATCAATATCTTCATATACATGTCTAAATTTTAACCCGGACGTCGGGCAGGTGAATTTGAGAATCTGGCAGTCCGTGTTGGAAATAACCCGTCTCGGGCGGTCGGGCAGGCAGTTATTTCGAACGCTGAATATAGCCAATTGTCCTACCACCATGCATGTATTTTGAATAATAGTGTATATTGAACTTAATATGGCACGGATAGTGGCCTGATTAAAGTAATGATGTTTTGTTGTGTTAGTGTTAGTTCAATGACATCAGCTACCTACACGCGTACCGTGTAATATAAGACACAAATGAATGTTACTCAAATCTACCATACCATGTGAATAATGAATTCTTTTGTGTTCCAAACTAGCAACTATATACAAGTCATTTCAGATTTAACAGTTTACTTGATTACATACAATGAAGCTCCCTCGACCGGACATTGGATCATAGTGGTGGTAATTGATGGAGCCCGGACTTAATAGTGGGCGGGAGGTGAGGCCACAGGCCCTCGTGTCTTGCGAGGATTAAATATTTTTAAAAAAATAAATACAAATTTGAGATGACCCCCGTCTCGAAATGCTTCACAGTACGATACATCATGACAAGGCCGGACACTTCGGTGCATCCCACCCAATCATGGATGATTGGCCTATCGAGCACCACTCATGACACCTACCAATTCTTTATTGTTCTTTCTGCAAGTCGAATGAAACCCGATGTTTACTCTTAACCAAACGATCTTGAAGCAAGCCCTCTGGTTGGTTCATACTTGTTAAGGAGACATTTACAACTGATGCTTTCTTTTGAGCAGCCATTGTTGGGGGAAAAAAAAGTTTTACATTTCCATTGCAAGCAGTCAATGAAATTACAAATTCCTGCGAATTTATAGAAAATATGAAGATTTACAAGCGTTGACTAATCACAGGGCTTGCTTCGACCACACACCCGTTGTGTGCGGACATATCGTCATCTATTATTGTGTAATGCAAGGAGCGTGCATTCGCTTCCCACTGACCGCATGTTTGGATTGGACTGAGGATCTCTCTACGGAAGGTGCTCAATAAGAATTTGGGATAAGATCAGTTGAACTTAAAGAACCTTCTTTATTTGGGCACACTGACATATCTGCAGTCCAATAGGGAGCATTCCCAATGTGAGACACTATGCATATGCATTCCGACCAGACATCGTCTTCATGGACGCGAACACATTGTTCCAGTGTCGTTGACGCCATTGTCCACAAGGAGTGGCTAACCCGGCCATCAGATCTCAACCCAGTCGAACACATGTACTTCTGTGTCTTGTACCTTTTGGACATTCCAGTTTTAATTCGGATATTGTCACTGTGACTGGTGATCTGTCTGATTATTGGTCATGCATTTGTGTTATACATCACAATGGACTTATATTAATAAAACACACAATGTCTCCACACAATATTGTCTTTGACACACAAAGATGCACACAATTCCACGTATTCCCGTTTTAAGCCAGGCCATGACCTTGATAAACTTTGATATACTGAAATCGTCTTTCACAACTGGTACTTCCTCCTCGTATACCATATGTCCGCCACTGACCTCGCTGTTATAGATAGCATGACGATCGTGTCTTCTGATATATAGCTTTATGATCTGTCAACAAGGTATAACAACCTGCTCCAACCTAAGTAACCAACATAATTCCTGGATTATTGCTTTCCTTTTGCTTCGTGCAATTGTTAAATAAGCCACACGGCCCTCACAATTCATTTCAAATGTTAATGGATATTGTTTACATTGACATATTTAATTGAGTGAAGACGCAAGTGAGGAAAATATTTCTTCAAGGCCTATCATCCCCATATGTGGCAGCTATCTGGATGGTTGGCATGTACGTGTGTAGCCCACGAGTGACACACACGACCCAGTACTCTGCATGTTGATATGCATTGGTGTTAAGCTCTACATTTAGCTGGCAAGAATCCCTGTTTCGAATCCAGCACATGAATATTGTTTAGCTCGCTCGAGAATAAAACACCCATAGCAAGGAGGCTTGTAGATAATCGGGTCTGGACCAAAGGCTGATTACCTCAAAAACACGCCAAACGTTTCGCATAGCTTTGGTTTTCGTTTATGATTCTTCCAGCTTTTTATAATCAGTCCGCGGTACGTTTTATAGTTGATCTTCTCATTGGCGTGATATCATGTACTTGTGACTGATATACATGGTCACTCAAAGTACAAAACGAGAGTCCTCTGAACACGACTAATTCCAAACTCACACTTGCTGTCATTACGACGAATAAAAAATTAAAACATCCTTAAATAGCGAAAGCCCTAAGTAAACGGCAAGGTGTTTGTGTGTGCAAGATTTCAGAAAGAATACCTCTTAGTTTTACAGATATGATCAGGACAAAACACAATTACGAACGTTACTGCAACTATCTGCACACATGTACACCGTTACGTTTCGCCGAGTTGTTTTGCGTGATGAGGAGCATCAGAGTAAGTGCAAGTCAGCATGAAATAGCATCTAGACGTTTGCCCCATCACACACAGCCGTAGTTGCCATGACAGGGTGCTGGTTTGGGGTTAGGGGGTGGTATATATCCTAGTCTAAGAAATAGCAACAAGAGCTATTGAGTGAGTTTAGTTTTACGCCGCACTCAGCAATATTCCAGCTATATGGAGGCGGTCTGTATATAATCGAGTCTGGTCCTGACAATCCAGTGATCAACAGCATGAACATCGATCTACGCAGTCGGCGAGCCTGACCACCCGATCCCGTTAGTCGCCTCTTACGACAAGCATGGGTTACTGAAGATCAATTCTAACCCGGACCTTCACGGGTAAATAGCAACAAGAACAAAGCAAATAACAAATGACTTTATTGAAATGAAATGGTATGTGATATCACATGTTTTCAAATATGTGTTTTCGTGAGCTACAGAAGAAAACCATGGCTTCCGTTAGGGAGCAAGAGTTGTGTTTCAAGCAATGTTCCAGCAGTGTGAGGTCGGGGCTGAGGCGTACACCAAGAATGTCCATCAAACATTGAACAAGTATTGGATGTGTTTTCTGTACAATTGTACGGAAATAACAAAGGGAAAAAAGTAACGGTTGTTAAAGAACTGACTTCAATGTCTATGATACAGCTGGAATATTTCTAAGTGACGATAAACAACAAACAAACAAATAAATGGAAGAGTAAATATATAATACATGGCATGCACACAGTAGAAATCCACATACGATGGATGGACAACGATTATGACATTATCGCCTTAGAGCAGCACGAACAGGTAATATATGCAATGCTTCGTAAATTTACGTATAAATTAAGAGGTAGTTTTCATTAACAGGTGATATTATCTTAAATTTGATATTTTCCTCACATGTCTAGTAAATCTAGTATCTTTCGTGTAACAGAGGTACACAGCCATCGAAAGTTAAGCCTTGATCATCTATTTCACGTATAGTTTGATCATCCATCTGGTCTGTGATCATTTGGCAGCCGTATTGAACTCCAGCACAGCGTCGATGTAATCAAGAGCCAGTCGGTCGGACCAAGACGTCAGTGTGGATTCTTCAAGGAATCCGCAGTGGCCTCCCTTGGTCGTCGTGACCAGCAACCTATCCGAAGTTTCCTTAAACATGTTAAATGGTATATTCCAGGCTGCACAAATGGGATCGTCCATGCTATTTATGCACAAAAAGGGCACCTTTACATTGAGGATATTTCTCATTGGATTGTTATGTTTCCAGTACTCAATAATGTCTTTATACCCGTAGAACTTGCAATAGACTTGGGTGTCGAAATCCATGAAACGTGTTGCCTTGTACGCCGCACCAAGATCAAGCAATGGCGATAACACCTTGGCATGTTTCTTCAAGATCTTCTTCAAGGATGAAAGCAGAAGAAATTCGTAAAGAAAATTCATCCGCTTGGTAAAGAGCTCCAAGGCGTCGTATCCTGGGCATATACATACACCGGTCACCAGGATGGCGTCAGCTCCGTATTCACCCATATAGGAAGCAAGGAGGCCCGACCCTGCACTTGAGCCTATACCCACAAGTTTTGCTGCGGGATTCTTGTCCCGTAAATACTCCACACAGTGTCTCATGTCCTTCGCATCGCCAAACCCTTGCAGTTTCGGTGTCGCTAGTACTGAATCCCCGTGTCCACGCTTATTGAAAACCACAACTCGGTAACCTCTCTTTAACGCCATGTTGCAAAGTTCTCCATTATCTTTCGCGCTGGCCGTCAATCCAGGCAATACAATGAGGATGGGGCTTGTGTCAGAAACAGGTTTAGAGCCACCCTGTGCCCAGTCCAAGGCAACCACACCTCCGTCATCTAGATCCACGTACTCGCGCTTGAAAGTCACTTTGGTTTTCGGCACCAACGTTGCTATAATCGTATGAAGATGGTTGTTCTGTAGCCAAAATGGCGGCCGGTAAGGGGAGGTAAACCCAGGTTTGGTTTTGAAGATGTGTCGATGAAGGTCGGAGTCCAGGCAATGAAGTTCGGGAACAGTGTACTTGTTACGGCGGTAGTACCATACGACGACACTGACGGTGGCAACGACACTTCCAAAAAACGACGTACATGACCTCAGAAGAGACCTGCATTTTTCACAGAAGAGGTCTTAATCGCTATGCTCCTCCAAGCCACGCAATTGCCTGCAAACAAAAACTGAGCTGATTTGTCATGGACGGCGTTAGACTACAAGTTCGCATTGTCCAGTCTCAATTATTTACAGGCCATCGTGATAAAGCTGGGTTATTTATGACCGCAAAGTACAAAATACGTAACGTATGCGATATCAGTTGGCATACCGAACTTAGCTGTATGTGTCCAAAAGCAAGCGTGATATTGGGCTGTCCGAACACTGTGAGATAGAACGTCCAAGAGGTCAGATACTGGTTACAACACAACTGTAAGACCCACCTCTTTCTACCTATACGTGTCACGTGGTCGGTGTCTGATAAGTTTCCGAAAATAGTCAAAGCATGTTGTCATGAGCTTCCGATCATTGTTCTTTTATTGTTATAACTGTGCACAAGCTTTTGTTTATTTGTGATACAAACATACAGGCATGTGTCATCTGCAACACGATTTAATTCTCTACAGTAAAGAAGCACAGTATCCACAGGGGTGGAAATAACCCATTGCCCGACGTCCGAGTCCAGTGTTTTTTTCTGTCGGGCAAGCAAATTTGTATATCACGCTGTACCAGTGTCCAGTTGACTTTCCAATGTTAATAATGTTATTTATTTATACAATCAACAAGAAAACAGCCGGTATAGTGGAAAAATGATTAGGGCAAGTGATTTTACATGTGCCACTGTACCGGAGTACACTAGCAATTTTAAAGTTATTTCCACCCCTGATCCAATGCACCACGATTAACATGAACAGGGCTTTACATAATGTAGTTGCTGCAGCAGTGGCAAGAGTAATGTTGCCATTGGCCGCTGAGTAACTGGTAGACTAACGCTTAGTCCCTGAATATATATAATGTTGATAGTAACAAACAAACCCATTTAAATTGAAAAGGAGCCCCAGTGAGTTGGGGGATTCAGAACCTGAGGAAATCTAGACTTGCTTCATTTAGGGCTTTAGCACTGCAGGGGGGGCTAGGCATAAGGGAAAATAATGTGGTTCAAGGACTGGGAGACAGACTAAGTACTTGACTGAATGTTATTTCACGACACAGCAACATGATACGCCCGCACGACGGCTTGTAAATAATGACCAAGAGTTGACCAGCGAAACCAGTGGTTGAAAGCATGAACATTACACGTCAAAGTACCAGTGTCACACAATCAGGCAGGGGACACATGGTGGCCAACCAATGATATCCGTTCTATCTGCACCCTTGAGGATACCATTACAATAAATATAGAGTCTTGCAACTGAACCTTTCAACATATTTTCCTCAATAATAATTGTATTCTGAGTTTGGTTTTACGATTTGTGAGATTTAAAATGATTATATCATTCCTAAAGCCCCCATAAAAAAGGATTTCTAAACTAGCAACAACACTTTGACAATCACAATGGGGAAATACGTCATATATTCTCTTGCTGTCAACTTTACTCAGAAAACCCATTAATTGCCAGTTTCACGTTTCAGGCATATCTTAATGTACAATGTATACGCAGTGTGAAAATTTGTGCTACTGAGCCTAAGTTTACTTAGACTGGCCCCCTTTGAACAAATGTCATAATTACATTTAAATTAATGGTATCTCTCCAACTGAGGAGCATATTGTGTTGAATTTGTTGAAATACAAAAATCACATCGTAATATGGTTAATATACAATTCTGAAATATCTGTAAGTAAATGCCCTTATCAACCTCATGTTTGTATCATCGCAGTTTTGTTGTTGTAATGACGGACAACCCAGTTGGTATTAAAATCACTGAAATATGATGTTCCTTATTACATTATTTCACAAAATCATAAAAAGTGTTGAAATAATTGTTTTTGTATTCTGTCTAGGGAAGGGAAGAATGGCATTAAAACATACATGCACACAGAAATGTTTTTGGGTTTTTTATTAAGGCCTTTGATGGTGTTACATCAGAAGTTATTATCTGTCATATATCCTGACTGTAACAAATGTTACATTTGGAATTACACTAAGTCTTTCTTAGTAAGTGAGATTACCCTTTGTTTGTTTGTATATCCTGGCTGTTATTTATAGTTGATATGTAGATATATTTCATGAGAATTAATCCTTTCTGGTAATGAAACATAAAACGATTATACATGGAAAAGCAAAATGAAACCCATTTTTTCGTTAGGTTTGAACCCAAGGAGTACATATCGGGGCTTATTCTTGGAAATAGACGCCTATCACTACGCCAGACAGAGTTACCTCCCTTTTATTGATTATGTTTACATCGCGGCATTTTGTCGATAGAATTATTACATCCTTTATGCATGAATGGGCGAAATTATGAAATGGGGTTTTGCAAATAATTCTGAAGGAAAACAGTTCAAAAGCTGTCAGAGTCACATCGATATCGTGCCCACTGACTCGCTATTTACTCAAATTTAACACTTCCTAATTTATAATTTCGTGATATTGAGTGATATTGAGTGAACTGATATCGATAAAAAGCCTGAGAACTAGTAGCTGTCGCATTGTCGCGTTGTCGCCCTCTCAAAACAAGCAAAATGAGGCAAAATTAACCAAAGCGCGACGACAATGCGACAACGCGACATTTCGGCCATTTGTTTGTCGCGATGTCGCATGTCGCGTTTTGAATAATATTTTTCTATTCCTCCAAAGGGCGACAATGCGACACAGCGACAATTTTCAAGGTCAAAATATGTCGCGTTGTCGCATTGTCGCCCCATCTAAGATGTGTTAATAAAAGCCTAAAAATGCGCGACAACGCGACATATTGAATATGTCGCATTGTCGCGTTGTCGCCCTTTTCGATTACCGGTGCGCATGTGTAGAAAGTCAATTAGTCTACGCATGCGCACAAAATGTTATACTCTATTTCAGACTTCACTGGTCTTTTGTTACCTCCAATGGTTTTTAAAATGAAGTAGTGCTCGTAATGGCAATGGGGGCTGCTTTTCTTGAACTTAATGCAAATCTTTCATTGTTGCTTTGAAAATTATTTTATATATTGTAAATGTATTTAGCCAATCAAGTGTGTTTTAGCAGCAAGACAAATTATAGCGCTACTATTCATTGTAATGACGGCACACGGTGGCCCTGTCATTCTAGGCGGGGCAATTTGCTGTGCAGGGTTGTGTCTCTTAGTCGCACCAGAAAACTATGATCATAGGTTCGAATCCCAGCACCATACACATTCATCACTTTGGACATTTCACCAATATCAAGCTGACAGGTTGTGAAAAACTGAAATATTGTTAAAATTCAGGCCACATCGGCATAAACATCAGGTGAAGTCATCGAATGGGTGACTATGTTCGACAGTTTGGCTCCTGACAGAGTTTCTTGGGACAGTCCTGTCCGACGCTGATGAATTTGTCCGAGATCTGCCTCTGTTCAGCCAGCAGTGGATGGATACCAGGTAGAATGAGATGGTAATATCACTTAACCATCCAGCACCTCAAAGACAGTTTAGGTCGGCTTTGAACGTGATATTCTTCTTGGGAAAACGCCGTACAAATGGACTGTTATCATTATGATATTAAAAACGATGAAATCGCTTGGCAGAGTTGCGTACCCTTGGAGTGCCAGAAACCAACCAACCATCCCTCCCTCACTCACTCACTCACTCCGCTCCCTCCACTCACTCCTCTCACTCACTCCACTCCGCTCCTCACTCACTCCACTCCGCTCCGCTCCGCTCCACTCAACTCACTCACTCAAGGTTTAGAGAGCTTGGTAAATTAGCAAGGTATTTCATCACAATAATGTGTTGTGATGTCTGTTTTTCAATTCTATTTGAATCCTATATATAATTAATCCTGGACATGCCATGATTCACAATATATCGATAATTTTCTCAGACGATACTATACCCAGCGATACACATGTACCTGTATCGTTTCAAACACACACTTACTCAATCATAATAATTTTCAGCAAAATGGCCAGTTTGAATACATCCATTCCATTAACCAACGACCCTTAACCCACAGACTTCACGGCCACATGTACGTTCATTTATTATTGTTCTGAGTTCGATCCCTAGGTATCTCTGCCCTGTCAAAACATCGATAAATAATCATGTTCTTCCATCGTGGTCACCACGATAAGTTTTGTTTACGTGTTGAAAACCTTTTATTGCAAAACTACAGTGGGTGCGTAATTAAGTTCTTTGTGTATATTTCGTGTAGATGTATATCCTTAGTGTGTCATTTGTTGTTTTTCACCAGGAACCGGATTCAGGCTGGTGGTCTAAGTAGTCGAAGTACTGCTGATTAGGGCATCATAGAGATCGATTTTCGTTAACAAAATATCGATCGGTTATCGATACATATTGGAGACGGAATTTTGAGCACAAATGCCAAAATGTGGAAAGAAAAGTAATATATTTCAGATCACTGGTGCATGGAATACTGCAAGGGATATTCTCGCGATCTCGACCATTGGAAACAAGCTAAAAATGCCAAAAGTGCGAGATTGCGAGAACGTGAGATTTTGGCCAAATCTCGCGTTCCCGCGATCTCCGTTCTCGCACTTTTGGCGTTTTTAGCTTGTTTCTAAAAGTCGAGATCGCGAGAATGCGAGATCGCGAGAATGTCCCTTACAATATTTCATGTTTTTTGTGCATGGATTATTAACAAAACAGCGTCCTGTACATAATTTAGAAGCAGACCATGAATAATGTACGATACTATGGATATCTCAATTTTCATATCGCTATTCATTAATAATAGTTCCTATTGACGATTTTTCCGATTATCGATAATTTTAGCCAGCCCTGCTGCTGCTGCGGCTTAAAGGACACTAACACACAAACTTTTTCATAATAACTAATATTTTCGAAATTACACATAAAGAGGAATGAAATAACTAAATACCTTTGTAATGTAACACGAATAGGTAATTAGTTTGTTTGGTTTTTGTATTTGTTTTGAATTGCAGCTTTAGTTGACTGCGAAAGTTATATATAGTTTGTTGTAGCTCCCTGAACATCCGGTTTTGGTACTTCTATAGTTCAAAAATGGACTCCCACTGGCTCTGGCTGTTACCTTTTAGGAGCAAGCCTAACGTACCGTGTTGGTGATTCGAAGGTACACAGGAAAGACAACCCTTGTATCAAAATCAGAAAAAGGACTAATGTTTGAACCATACTAAACCAAAAACTATTGATTGCCCTGAACAAAGGCATAACCACGTGACCTGTTTTAAATTAACATCCCATTAGTTCCACTCACCAGATCAATCACTAACGTATTACTTATCAATCACTAACGTATTACTTATCAATCACTAACGTATTACATATCAATCGCTAATGTATTACTTATCAATTACTGGCGTATTACTTATATCGCATCAGCGCCAGTCACCAAATCAATTACCAACGTATTACTTATCAAGAGCTAACGTATTACTTATCAATCAGTAACGTATTACTTATCAATCAGTAACGTATTACTTATCAATTACTGGCGTATTACTTATCAATCACTAACGTATTACTTATCAATTACTGGCGTATTACTCATATCGCATCAGCGCCACTCACCAGATCAATTACCAACGTATTACTTATCAAGAGCTAACGTATTACATATCAATCGCTAACGTATTACATATCAATCGCTAACGTATTACTTATCAATCACTAACGTATTACTTATCAATCGCTAACGTATTACTTATCAATCAGTAACGTATTACTTATCAATCAGTAACGTATTACTTATCAATCACTAACGTATTACTTATCAATCGCTAACGTATTACTTATCAATCAGTCACGTATTACTTATCAATCGCTAACGTATTACTTATCAATTACTGGCGTATTACTTATATCGCATCAGCGCCACTCACCAGATCAATCACCAACGTATTACATATCAATCGCTAACGTATTACTTATCAATCACTAACGTATTACTTATCAATCACTCACGTATTACTTATCAATCACTAACGTATTACTTATCAATCAGTAACGTATTACTTATCAATCACTAACGTATTACTTATCAATTACTGGCGTATTACTTATATCGCACCAGCGCCACTCACCAGATCAATCACCAACGTATTACTTATCAAGAGCGAACGTATTACTTATCAATCACTAACGTATTACATATCAATCGTTAACGTATTACATATCAATCACTAACGTATTACTTATCAATCACTAACGTATTACGTAGAAATCAGTAACGTATTACTTATCAATCACTAACGTATTACTTATCAATCACTAATGTATTATATGAGTCATTTTCACGAAGTGTGTAAATTTGAAAAGATGAAAACAGAAAAAATTAATTGTGGGGTTATGATGACTTATCCATTGATTTTGTAAACTATCGACTGAAGTTAATGAATTCACAAAAATGCATGCTTCACCTTTATTAGATTTTTCCTTAAAGATCGTTTTTCAAGGTAATTACATAAAACATGTCCATACTGTTACCACTCTTAAAACCAACTGAAAAAGTAAGTTCTATTTCATTTTCACATCTATATTTTTGCGCCAAGATAAGAAAGTGTTTATATTTTATCATAAATTGAAAACAATAAATGATTGTTTAAGAATATTTTAAATTTGATTTTTCAATAATTTGCTTTGACAGAAAAACGAGAAAGCTGCCAGCAAAGTTATCTATTACGTTGTTACAAATATATTTTCCATGCTCCATTATCTTTGAGAGTCACAAGTCATATGTAGGGAAATAGATAGAAGTAATCTTTGAAAACATTTCACATGCATTACTAAAATATAAAAACAAATTCTGAACAATAGTCATGGATATTGACGGTAACAGTAAGGACGACAACGGTAACAGTAAGGACGACGACAACGGTAACAGTATGGACGACAACGGTAACAGTTAGGCCGAAAACGGTAACAGTTAGGACGAAAACGGTAACAGTAAGGACGACAACGGTAACAGTTAGGACGACAACGGTAACAGTAAGGACGACAACGGTAACAGTAAGGACGACAACGGTAACAGTTAGGACGAAAACGGTAACAGTTAGGACGACAACGGTAACAGTAAGGACGACAACGGTAACAGTAAGGACGACAACGGTAACAGTAAGGACGACAACGGTAACAGTAAGGACGACAACGGTGTCAGTAAGGACGACAACGGTAACAGTTAGGACGAAAACGGTAACAGTAAGGACGACAACGGTGTCAGTAAGGACGACAACGGTAACAGTAAGGACGACAACGGTAACAGTAAGGACGACAACGGTAACAAGATGGACATTAAGGTCAATCTTTTCATATTACATAATGCAAATTGATCAGTAAACAAAATGTTATTTTGTATTGCTCAGTTGAAATAAATAAACATTAAAAACATTGTAGAAAGAAATATTTTCACAGAAGAACTGAACAAAATAAATGTTTGTTGGTCACAATTTTCCAAAGTAAGGACCGCCCCCGTGGTGTAGTGGTTAGAGCGTCCGCCCGGAGAGCGGAAGGTCGCGGGTTCGATCCCCGACCGCATCATATGGTACTTGTTAGTCCCTGTCTGGCGCTCGGCATTAATGGGTACAACATGGACTGGTCGTCTCGGAGTCAGTATAATGTGTCTGAGTTGGGTATTCATGCTTCACTGCGTCATGGTATCTCAGTGGGCTAGCACCATAAAACCAGCTTAAGTCTGGGCTAGTACAAGCAGCCGCATCTATACACCCACGCGCGCATGCACGTCGTCATATGAGCGAAATATTCTCAAGCGAGACGTTAAATCCAGTTTGACCTCACCTCACCAAAGTAACCGACATAAGTGATGCTCGTACTGACATCTATGACAGTTTCTAGGATATGTGGTTCTGGAAATATGTATTTTACTTCTACCCCTTCACAAAACACAGCTTATATATTCTTGTAACTGAAACAGTCATTTTATAAGGATTATTATCAGATAATTTTGTTTCAGTGAACCCTTCAATTTTACAATGTTGCACAACACTATTGTTACCAAAAAAACAAGTTTCAATGCAAACTTTGATTAAAGTTGAACATTTGCAACAGTGACTAAAGGTTGCAATATTTATTTCAAAGAAAAACCATCACTGCAGAATGACAAATATTATCAGTATCTTAAATATAAATATTTATTGGTTTTGAATAATTTTGTCCAAACTGTTACTTTTTAGTGTCCATACTGTTACCAAACATAAAGTTTCAATGAAAATTTGGATTAAAGTTGATATTTTCCAGCAATGATTAAAGTTTCCAATAATATTTGCCAAACAAAAAGCATGAGTAAAGAATTTAAAAAATTATCAGCATTTTATAAGAAAAAATTATTGATTTTGAATAAATTTGTCTTTACTGTTACCTTTTTAGTTCCATACTGTTAATGAAACTAATAGCATTGATGAACATCTTATATAATCTAATGACATATAAAAGTTTATATAAAGGGTCATACGTAGCTTGAAATGTAAATAATTGCAATGATTGTTAGTTTCAATCTTTTTTGGTAGACATTTGTCCACACTGTTACCGAGTTTGTCCACACTGTTACCGAGTTTGTCCACACTGTTACCGAGTTTGTCCATACTGTTACCGAGTTTGTCCATACTGTTACCGACTTTGTCCATACTGTTACCGAGTTTGTCCATACTGTTACCGAGTTTGTCCATACTGTTACCGAGTTTGTCCACACTGTTACCGAGTTTGTCCATACTGTTACCGAGTTTGTCCATACTGTTACCGAGTTTGTCCATACTGTTACCAAGCGTTAAAAAATCAACAATAAACTTTTTGCGAATCAAGGTTTTTTTATTCACAATAAAAACTGTTTCAAATGTATATTCTGAGTAATATCAGTCAAGGATTTCAAAACACAGTGACAAATATGTCTTTAAGATCCTTTTAAAAAAAATAATTCCATACTGTTACTGAAGTTGTCCTTACTGCTTCTTGTTTATATGGTAACAGTAAGGACAGTAACAGTGAGGACAATTGTTTAAAAATTATTCAATATTTACAGAATGCTCCCTTCAAATCCCTAAAAGCATATGTTCACAGGGACTAATAAGCAAGTCAATTTACATGCAAATTGATTTTTTCATAAACTTATTCTGTATACCTAAAACCATGGTAACAGTATGGACATACACATTTAGTACAATCAACTTTTCACTTAATTGTTATTTAAAAATATGACTAAATGTTTAGACTGACTGACTGACTGAGTTTAGTTTTACGCCGCTTTTAGCAATATTCCAGCAATATCACGGCGGGGGACACCAGAAATGGGCTTAACACATTGTGCCCATGTGGGGAATCGAACCCGGGTCTTCGGCGTGATGAGCCAACGCTTTAACCACTAGGCTACCCCACCGCCCCACTAAATGTTTAGAGGACCCAAAACATGCTGCATGCCATTTTAAAGACAGGAAGTGGAAGATTGAAGAGAGGAAGTGGCTTTACTATGTGACCAAGGGATGCCTCAATTTTAAATTGTTTTCCTTCTGGTAACAGTAAGGACATTTTTCTGTGGGACATGCATAAATGGGAAAAAAATCTTAAAAATAAATTTCAAAGTTTGTTATTTCAGTGTATTTTTCATGATATGAATGTTTAATCATTCAAGGAAACCTGCTTATTAGACATTTACTGTTAATTCATATCTAAGAAATGATGAGATAAATTGAAAACTCACCTTGGGACAAGCCATTTTCAGCAAAATTGCATCATAAAACATTGCAAAAAAAATTAAAATATCAAACAAAATTGTTATTTTGCAATTCTAGTATGCACTTTTTTAATATCAAACCTTAAAATAGTTAGAAAAATAACAACATATATAATATTTGGTATGATGGACAGAAAACTACACTCTTCGTGAAAATGACTCGTACATCAATCACTAATGTCAGTGTATGAAAGAAGCCCAAAACCCAGCCAAACATCAGGGCTGGTAACTTCAAAATTTTACCAGCCCAAAATGGATTTAACCAGACCAGACAAGACGATATGGTGAATTTACTCAGGTGTATATGGAATATCTAAAAACATCACCCGACCATCGGGCTGGCTAGCTGTAAATTTAGACCGTCCGTCAGAAATCTAGCCCGTCTCGGGCGGTCGGCCGTATTTCATACACTGCTAACGTATTACTTATCAACCACTAACGTATTATCTATCGATCGCTAGCGTATTATGTATCGATCACTAACATATTACCTATCAATCACGAACGTATTACCTATCAATCACAAAGGTATTACCTATTAACCACTGGCGTATTTTTTATTTATCAATCATTTAGGCATGATCTTTCAAATGTCACGATATTAGACAGTGAAAAATTGATAAATTGACAATTTCAGTTACATTTGTGCCGCTCGAGTGAGGACTTGACCACCAGATAATTTCACGAGCGTCGTCTCACTCCCCTCATCATCTCTCACTTCTCATTATTTCTGTCTGTCAAATTTGTAAACGGGGACGACATGCGTCACATTGTCTTTCCGTCCACATCGGGATGACACACACAGACCCATACTGAAATATGTCTATAGCTCAGACATGTCACTGCACAATGAGTAGGTCAGTTACATCAACGTATGTCAGCTTGACGTGGGAGAACAGTGATGTAAACCTAACACATTTACTAGTTTGTAAAGCCCACGGGGCAACCTAGAACCACGTGTGTACGACCAGGCCCAATCAGGAGTTGGAACCCACGACCTTAGGTTTCAAGGGATCTAAGGGACACAAACCTGCACAATGGATTGTGGTGAGTGAGTGAGTGAGTGAGTGAGTGAGGGTGGGTGGGTGAGTGAGCGAGTGAGTGAGTGAGTGAGTGAGTGAGTGAGTGAGTGAGTGTAGTTTTACGTTGCAATTAGCAATATCCCAGCAATATCAATGCCAGGAATGGACTTCACACATTGCACCCATGTGGGGAATCGAACCCGGGTCTTCAGCGCGACGAGCAGTAGGCTATCCCCACCGCCCCTCAGATAACCAGTGTAAACGTGAATTATGCAAACCCAAAGTCAGGTTATTGCTACACCTTCGAAAACAACCTTTGCTATTAGCATTTCATAATCAAAATATTATATGAAACTAATTGGTACGCCAATTCTACAGGGAAAGATCAAACCCCAAGCGTGGCCTAATGTCGTCCTCCGCCCCATGAATAATATGACCTTCACCTTTGGGTCTACCTGTTCACCTGGTCAAGATCCGTCATATTCACAACCAACGTGGTAACACTGTAGGTGTCGGCTTAACCAGATCCACTCACTCACCCCGTCTCGCCGAGCGTGGTAGCTGGTGTGTGACGCTGTTGTCACTTCCTCACAACTCTTCCTCACCTTCCTAGGGACGTCCAGCGTCAGGGGTCAGGGGAGCCTGAATCACTCACTTACGGCGACGTGGTCGGCAGCGGGGACTTTATCCCTTCGTCCACTCAACGTCGAATATGAGTATCTTAGGTGACTTGGTATTGTCTCATGAAAATTGACATATTTAGGATTATCTGCTAGGACTGCACTGTATTGCCGGTGTACCGGTATATCGTGCTACGCTTTTCTAACGATACGCATTGCAATACATTTTCTGACAATCGGTATATTGGGTAAAGAACATATATGACGTTTTTGTGATTATCTCTATGGTCTAAATTAAAATCTACACGGACTTACATTCACAAGAAATAGTTTCCTTCGTTATACAATGACAAAACGGCATGCTGTAATACTATTAAATGTATAAAAATAAAAATAGAATTCGTGACTATGCAACCAAATTTTGTGATTGCTGTTATCAGAACCATAACATATATGTTCAGGTACTTATCATGTAGCAAATAGGATGGACATGTTGTCAACCATTTACGTTCCCAATCTATCGCAATACGTATCGCAATACGGGTACTAGTCTGTCTCACAGTCCCTGAACCACATTATTTTTCCTACTGCCAAGCCCTCTCTGCAGTGCTAAAACCCCAAATAAAGCAAGTCTAGATTTCCTCAGGATCTGAATCTCTGGTCTCCCTGGGGCTCCTTTTCAATTTAAATGGGATTGTTTGTTACTATCAAAATTATATATTCAGAGACTAAGCATTAGTCTATACGGGTACCTGAATCACAATATATTGCAAAACAATTTATTTGCCAATACACAGCCCTGTTATGGGCACATTTTACCATTTTTCCAATGTTGTTTTCGATCTGAAATTCTTCTTCCAAATCGACTTTCGATGACATATACCGCACGTATTTTTATTTAAGGATATCTATTATAACAGTATTTATAAGACAACGTAATTAGTGTAGAGCACCGTAAATCTTACACATTGACTGACTTATCTAACCGAACGATCTTAACCCATCAGTATAAACCCTAATATTGCGTGGTGAGGGACAGGGGCTATGCTAACGAACTGCTTCGATACCTCTTTAATTAAATAAGACTCAGAAGTTGGTATGATCAACACGGGATTGAGTGAGTGAGTATAGTTTTACGCCGCGTTTAGCAATATTCCAGCAATGTCACGACGGGGGACACCAGAAATGGGCTTCAAACATTTGACCCATGTGGCGAGTCGAACCCGGGTTTTCGGCGTGAAGAGCTAACGCTATCCCACCTCCCCTCAACACGGGAGATAATTCTGAAGTTTTTAACTACCATGGATACGATGTTTCGGTGTAGATGCTTATATTTGAAGAGGCTTTACAGCAAACACATATGTCACTACACAGTGACACAGTTCGGTTTGATGTAATTTGCGGTGTAAGTTTCATACCAAAATGGCCGCCCTCATTGACAAAGTAATACGTCCATAGAGTTGTCTCCCTTTTTCGATATTGAATAATTTCGTAACAAGAAAAAACACACACGTTTAACACGGTTACGTGAGTGAGTGAGTATGGCATTCCGTCACATTTAGCAATATTCTAGCAATATCACGGTAGTCAACAGAAATGGGCTTCACGTATTGGATCCATGTGGGGAATTGAACTCGGGTCTTCGGCGTGAGGAGCGAAAGCTTTGACCACTAGCCTACCCTACCGCCCCTAACACGGTTACGGTTCCTGTTGGGTGATTTTGTCCTCAGTGACACTTATCACTGCGTGTCTGTCCTTGTGAGAACAAGTGCAGGTATCGATTACGTGGGGCTGTATATCACAAGAGGAAAACCAGTATAAACTTGTCACGATTCCTGCCTGAATCACACTCGCGGCGGCGTGGCTTCCCTCGTAACCAAAGTGCAACGGCGATGCCTATGACAGCGCATTTCAAGAGGAAAACCAGTTTACAGTCACGATTCAATATGGGCTATTCTCCAGCTAACCACAATGATTTTCAGTTTTAAGGTGTCGTGTCTTCCGAAACAGAATGCAATACCTCCCATCACGTCACCAGCCTACCACAACAACATAGCAGGCTGTTGGATAACACAAACTTAAGGCTCTGTAGGGGGAATACCGACAGGTTAATAACATGGAAACTAATTTCGTATTTCCGAGTGTATTACTGTACTCAGATGAGTTTCTAATATAAAAGACATGTGACGATACATAACAGTGAAACCTTGTTAATCAGGACTAATTCAGTTTCTTTGATAACTATGAGTGAGTGAGTGAGTGAGTGAGTGAGTGAGTGAGTGAATTATGCAAACCCAAAGTCAGGTTATTGCTACACCTTCGGAAACAACCTTTGCTATTAGCATTTCATAATCAAAATATAATATGAAACTATATGGTACGCC